AAATACACCACAGGGCCACTCTGTATGGCATGAGCACGTCTTCCCGTTTCTTCGACTGCAGCCCCATCAGCCTGTCGCCTGGGGGAAGGGACTGGTGCTGTTATCCAGATAAGGTGGCATCAAGGCCGGGGACCCGATGTTTACTGACGTCTCCCTGGGGCCCTCCCCTTTCCACCTTGGAATTCACAGAGTCCTTTGAACTCGGCATTCACTGGACCCTGGTCACTCTTAACAACCCTCCGGCAACTCAGCCTGGTGTGATCTTTTGTTTTCCACTAAGTGTGTCTAATTGCACAATTATTTGTGTGCAGCTGCAGCTCGAAGCAACACCAGGCCCAAGGGCGGACATCAGAGGTAGCCTCGAGCTGGGGCGCTGCGTCCCTGCTTGTGAGGAAGCAAGCCTGAAACCAGCAAGTAATTGACACCAGGGGAGTCGGCTGAGCTCTCTCTGCCCTGCAGTCTTAATGCTGGACGAGCTGTTGAAAGTGCATTGATACGCTTTCCGAGGTGTGTCCAGGTGCAGCTGGAATTATTCTGAAATGGGTGGGGTGAGTTCATCAACGGGAAGGGAGACTGGAGAAGGGCAATGGTCAGTCCGACTTGAGGGCCGCCAGGACCCTCTGATCCTCATCTTCAGGTGCTTTCTCGGCCTCTACTGGTTCTTTGGTGCCATGTGAAGCGCCCCTTGTCATTCCCTTAGCTCGTCTCCTTGGCTGTAAAGTAGGGATAAGATCAACACTGAATGATTCCTGTCAGTCTTAGAATTTGTGGGGTTTCAGCAGTGAATCTTAGTTGGCAGCCCATTTTGATTTTAAATCACAAGCCTGTCTTTGTTGACTTCTCATTAAACATTGTGCCTTGCGTTTCTCCCCTCAGTTCCCCTGACGGTAGCAGGAATAGGTTTCCTTCCTCCCTCCAGCCTCTGAGCCAGCCCAAGTTGGTACCCCATTTTCCACAGAAGTCGTGTCCATTGAGTCGGTGATGCCATCCAACCATCTCATCCTCTGTCATCCCCTTCTCCTCCCATCTTTACTCTCTCCCAGCATCAGGGTCTTTTCAGATGAGTCAGTTCTTCGCATCAGGTGGCCAAAGTATTGGAGTTTCAGCTTCAGCATCAGTCCTTCCAATGAATATTCAGGACTCATTTCCTTTAGGATGGATGGATCTCCTTGCAGTCCAAGGGACTTTCAAGGGTCTTCTTCAGCACCACAGTTCAAAAGCATCGATTCTTTGGCGCTCAGCTTTCTTTACAGTCCAACTGTCACATCCATACATGACTACTGGAAAAACCATAGCCTTGACTAGATGGACCTTTGTTGGCAAAGTAACATCTCTGCTTTTTAATGTGCTGTCTAGATTGGTCATAACTTTTCTTCCAAGGAGTAAGCATCTTTTAATTTCATACAGTTAAAAATGTTTCAGGTTGCCAGAAGCACTGGAGAAATGTCTCAGTTAATGTGAGGTAAGATGTAAAGTCTAATTGCAACTTCATCTTCCTGGCATTTCTTGGGTTCTTCTTGGGTACCTCAGCAAGACTGTAGGGACAGTGGGTTCTGGGCACAGTGGCTTGAAATTAACTGGATTCTGAGTCATGCGGCTTGATGAGTCCCATCTGGAACTGAAGGAGCATTGTCTATCCAGCGCGGCCCCTTTGTAGAAGCCGACCTTAGCAGTGACCTGGATAAGCCGTCTTGTCCTCAGTGCTGGGGGCCTCGTGTGGCCCCCTTAGAGCTTGGCTCTGCACTGCGGTCCCTGCACTTCATCCAGAACACCCTGTGAATCTCGCCCACTCCCACCTGCCAGCCAGGCCCCCCCCCCGCCCCCCCCACCCAGCATCCTTCCCCAGACTTTGCACCTGAGCCTTGTGGTCCCCCTTGCATCTCTGACTCTTGCCTTACCATAGAGAGCTTGAAGCTGGTATCCGAGCCTCAGGCTTCAGGAAGCCCATGGGTCTTGTGCGTTCTGCATGCCCAGCCTGAACGAGGGCAAAGGGTGGGTTTCGCCAAAGAGAAACCCAAGTCAGGGAAGGAGGCAATCGCTAGGCAACCCGGAGTTTGTTTCCCAGGTAACGGGATGTATGCACTGATGCTGCAGATGGACACGTTGCGGCAGTGGCCCCTCAGCCTCTCCAGATGCCTGCCTGGTGCCCACTGTCGTTTTCCCATGTGGTGACTTTTTAATTAACCGCTTGGATCTCTAGTAATGATCGTGAATTTTACAAATGTTGTCTGGTTAACCCTCCTGACAGCACCCCCTCCTCCCCCACGGAGTGAAGTTGGGGTGTTTCTTCACCCAGTGGGAGGGAACAGCCTGGGCCAAGTGAGCACGTTTGCCCACGAGGTCCTCCAGGAGCCCAGCCTTGGGCTTCGTAGGAGGTGTTGGGGGCAGGGAGAAGCTGGAGGAAGAGAATGAGTCCTTTCGGGCTTGCTTGTCTCGCCATCTCACCTTTTAGGGTGGGTGTGGACCCCATGTTGGCACCGGCCGCCCCCCGCTTTCAGCAGCTTGCACCTTGCTCTTTTTCCTGGTCTGCAGACAGGAGACAGGTGCCGTCTCAAGGATGAAAGGAGAGGGTGTGGGGCACCCGGTGACATCCCTGCTCCCCACTTCTCCCTCTGTGGGGTGTCCAGGAGTCCTGTCTGCAGATGTCACTCTTGGTCTTTGGGGTGTGTTCTCCCCACCTGCACACAGCACCTCAGCTCTCACGGACCTTTCTGTTGGGCAAAGTTCGTGGGACGTGCCCCAACCCCCCCAACAGGCGGCCGGCCTCAGTGCTGCAGGTTGAGAGCTGGGGACCCTGTCCCCACTCGGGAACTCAGCTTCACTTGGCCGCCCCACTTCAGGGGTCCATGTCCCCAGGAGGCGGTAGGGGTCTGGCTGCCACTTGTGGGCCAGGAGGGACCTTGATCATTCGTGAGCCCCAGCCCGGCACTGCCCAGAGGTGGCCCGCTGCCCCTGGCCACCCCGGCTTGTTCTCCCCAGGCCAGAACAAAAGGCTTTTGTCTGGTTGAGTTCAAAGAGACAATTGTCCCCCGAGGCTGCAGCTGTGGCGTGGGAGCGCCATCCGGGACACTTCCAGGTCGTTCGGGCACTGGGGTGCTGCCCTCCCCCACCCTGCGCATTGCTGAGGGGCACGTGGCCGCCGGATCCTGAGCCCTGGTGGCCGAGGAGGGGCCCCACCCGTGGCTGTCTCATGCTGCCGGGAGGCTGAGGCCCCGTGGGTGGGCACGTCAGTGGCTCCTGCTTCGGCCTTTGGGAGCCTGAGCAAGCCAGGTGCTGAAGAGGATAAACTCTGTGCTCAGCCTGGCCCTGGTGCTGTGGCCATCATCAGTTTATCTGAACATCTGAGAACCTCAGATGTGTGGAAAGCTGTTTTGTGACTTGTAATCTGTGACACCAGCTGACTTGCACTGTGGTCCTTTGAGAAGATTCATTCATCAAGTCCCTGGCAGGCCACCTGCGCCCCCTACCACCACACACACACACACACACACACACACACGCACACTTGTGATTTGGGAAGAAAACAGGAGTGGCCCTGTCCTGGCCACCTGGTGCTGCAGTTCCTCCTGAAGCCCAGGGATGAGTCATGGTGATTTAACATAGTGAAGGTTGCTCAGTCATGTCCGACTGTCTCCAACCCCATGGACTATACAGTCCATGGAATTCTCCAGGCCAGAACACAGGAGTGGGTACCTTTCTCTTCTCCAGGGGATCTTCCCAACCCAGGAATGGAACCAGGGTCTCCTGCATTGCAGGCGGATTCTTTACCAGCTGAGCTATCAGGGAAGCCCAAGAAGGTGATTTAACATGGAGGCCAAAAATCCAGGAACTTCCAGTGAAGGGAACGGTTTGGTCATAGAGGATCAATTGCCCTGAGTTGGTGTGTGTGCCCCTGATGATGGGGCCCCACGGTGGAGGGCAGAGCAGTCCTCCGTCATTTGGGTTGGAGGCAGGCGCCCCTGGAGAATGTGGACTTAGACAGCGTGCAGGCAGGCCTGCTCCCCTCGCCAGCTGCGGGGTCCAGCATCCTTTGTCTCCATTAGAAGCATTGGCACATATAAACAGTTCTGGCTGGTCTAGGCAGCTGATTTGCTCTATGGTCCTTTGAGAAGATTCATTCGTCAAGTCCCAAGCAGGCCACTTGTGTGGCCCCCCCCCCCCCACACACACACACACCCCTACACACACACTTCCCCACCCCCTCAGACTGGCATCCTCTCCTCACCTGGGCCAGGTGAGAGGGTCTATAGGCACAGGCTGCATGTCTCCCACGGTTTCCTCCAGGAAGCACTTACAGGATGTTGTTCAGTCACTCAGTTGTGTCCAACTCTTTGCAACCCCATGGACTGCAGCACACCAGGCTCCTCTGTCCTCCGCTGTCTCCCAGAGTTTGTTCAGGTTCATGTCCAAGTCAGTGATGCCATCCAACCATCTCATCCTCTGTCGTCCCCTTCTCCTCCTGCCTTCAATCTTTCCCAGCATCAGGCTCTTTTCCAATGAGTCGGCTGTTCGCATCAGGTGGCCAAAGGATTGGACCTTCAGCTTCATCCCACAGGATGCTGGCACTCTAACGTGTCCCTCTTGTTTCACTTTAGTGCATTTTGCATGTGTTTAGAAGGGCAGAGGGGCCAAGTGAAGTCTGCTCTACCTCGGGAGCCATGGGCCAGACCCCTGGATGTCCTGAAGGTCTCTGGGTCTTGGAGGTTTAGGGTCAGCCAGGCAGCCCCCAGGCTGTCCCCTGTGGCAGCAGCGAGTGTGGACTTGACCCAATTCCACATGGTGGTAGAGTTGGCCACATGTGGTCCCCTATGGGGGCATCTTAGCCTCTGTCAAAACAAGCTGCACAGATGTCCCTTCTCTGTCTCCTGGGCTGGTCCCAGAATCCTCCCAGGAGGGAGGCACGTGGATACTGGAGTGGGAGCACCGTCCTGGGCACCCCACCACAGCTGGGGGAGCCCCGGCCACTGGGCACACACACCCTGTCCCCTCCCTCCCCCCAGGTATCCGCCCCCAGATCATGAACGGCCCCCTGCACCCCCGCCCCCTGGTGGCACTGCTCGACGGCAGAGACTGCACCGTGGAGATGCCCATCCTGAAGGACCTGGCCACCGTGGCCTTCTGCGATGCACAGTCCACCCAGGAAATCCACGAGAAGGTGGGCCCCTCCCCATCCTGCCCGCCTAGCTGGGGGTCCCCCCACCCTTAGATCAGGTGGCAGCAGCTGGCACTCAGCAAACACCCCTTCCAGGTCCCCCTTCTTTCCACACTGGTTTCTGCTGGCCCGTCCCTCACACCGCTTCCCTAAGCATGCCCCCTGCACCCATTCCCTGGCATCACTCAGAGTCATCCGCAGTCCCCCAGAGCCCCACCAGGGCCCTCTTCCCTAGGGGGGGGATGCCGTGGACACCCAGGCGGCATCCTCGCTGGTCATCTTCCTGCCAGAATTCAAGGGTGATGGGGGCCTCCAACCCGCGCTCTGCTTGCCCCATCACAGGTTTTAAACGAGGCGGTCGGCGCCATGATGTATCACACCATCACGCTCACCAGGGAAGACCTGGAGAAGTTCAAGGCCCTGAGAGTGATCGTGCGGATAGGCAGTGGCTACGACAACGTCGACATCAAGGCTGCAGGCGAACTCGGTAAGTGCCCGGCGGTGCCTGCCGAGTGCCCACTGGAGCAGACGAGGCCAGAACTGAGACAGCTCCCTGCTGGGGTCAGAGGCCCCATCGAGGGGCCTGGGGGCTGTGCTAGGTTGTCTCACTCGGGAAGGACGTGGGCCAAACAAAGCCACAAGCCTTCCTGGCAGAGGGGACTGTGTGAGCGGCCGCAGCCCTGTGCCCGCCGGCCAGGACCCACCAACCTGAGGTTACTCTCGCTGGGTGCACAGCTTGGTGCTCCTGGGGTTGGGAGCGCCCTTTTCTGGGTCTCCTCCAGTCCTGGGGTGGAGCCATCTCCCCAGGGCGGCTGTCTGCACGGGAACCTTCCCGGGTCAGGGCAGTGCAGGGGGACCACTGCCCAGCATCCCCCTGCCCACCCAGCAGATGGGCACCTGAAGGCGGGGCTCCCGGCTGCTTTCCAGTCCCCTGGTTGCACACTCCCCAAGGGAGGGCATTGGCATGGTGGCCTGGCACCTGATGTGGGCGCTAAGCATGTTGGAGCGTTGGCAGAGATTCAAGGGCCCAGTTTGAACATTCTTTAGCATTGCCCTTCTTTGGGATTGGAATGAAAACTGACCTTTTCAGGTCCTGTGGCCACTGCTGAGGTCTCCAGATTTGCTGGCACATTGAGTGCAGCACTCTGAACAGCATCATCTTTTAGGATTTGAAATAGCTCAGCTGCAATTCCATCACCTCCACCATCATCATCACCACCACCACCAAGGGGCCCAAGCTTTGACCACAGGCATCCCCGGGGTTCTCTGGAGGAGCCGGGAAGGTCCTGCTGGACAAGCCCTTCTGAAGTCAGCGTCCTTGCTGTCTTGAACCATGTCGGCCCAGCACCTACCTAGTATGCAGGCTGTGATCTGCCTGGTGCTCTGTGACCGTGAGGCTGAGGCAGGGACCCCCCAGTGGCCGGGAACCCAGGCCTCTGAGCCCCTGCCTGCTCCAGCAGGAGGGTACACGCGGTGCCTGGCTCGGTCAGCTCAGCGTCACACCTGCATGTGACCACCTACACACATGTGACCTGATGGTTCTGGCTGCAGCCCGCTGACACCCACCTGCTGCCTCTTCACCTGGGCGCACCCAGTGGGCTGCAGCTCCCCGATGAGGCCCCAGGCTCGGGTTTGTTCCAGCGGTGAGTTCCCCTGCGTGAATCGGGGCCACGCCCAGTTCCTAAGCCGCAGGAGGAGTTTTATGGGCACAAGCAGGAAGCGGGAAACCTGGCCCCAGGGGGGCCTGTTCTGAGTGGTGCTGAGTCTAATTTGATTCTTCACGAGGGCACCGGCCTGCTATGCGATCTGGCAGGCGGTCTGGGAGTTTGGGCCCCAGCAGGTCGGACTTGCCACCCCGGTGACCCCCAAGGAAAAAGCAGGAGGTGGTCCCTGCCCCAGAGGTTCTGTTCTTCCCCTCCCCCATCCCGAGTGGGGTGCCTCGTGGCAGGTGGCTCAGAAGATCGATCTTGGTTTTTTCTGGGTGCCCCCTGGCAAGTCTCCAGCATCTCAACCCTCTTCCCCGGGGTTCACTTGACCCCGTCCAAGAGAAAGGTCACGACAGGGGTCTGGCCAGGGGGGCTCCCACGTCCTCTCGGAGTCACTCTCAGCTCTTCTTTGTCGCCACAGAGAAGCTTGGGGAGGACGTGAGCCTCCAGAAGCATGTCTAATGTAAACTAAAATTTTCCATTTTCCCCTGGTGCCAGAAGAATGTTTTTGTTTGAAAACAAACGTTCTTTGTGCTCCGGATGGAGCTGAGATCCCAAGTTGGAGCAGCGACTGAGAAAGTGGGGCCCGACTCCCCGAGGGCTCTGCACCCTTCCCTGCGCCCCCTCCTCCCGTCTCCAGGCGTGGCCCTTCGCGGCGCGGCAACCCGCACATGTGTGCCATCGGGCTTCCTTGCCGGGACCCAGCCGTCCCTCTGGGGCGGGGGCGGGCTGGGTGGGGGAGGCGCCTGCCAGTCACAGGGGCTACCCCCAAGTGGGGCTCCGTGGCCCTTACCTCACCCCCACGGCAAAGGCCAGCCAGGGGCCAGTGATGTTGGGTTGGAGGATGTAAACTGCCTGTCCCTGGAGGCCTTTTCACTGACCCCGCTCCGATCTGATAAGAGCACGGCTTCAGGGACATCTGCTGGGCCGTTGGAAAAGGGGCGTTTTCAAATGTGGAATCTGCAGAAGGAGCCCGGGCCTCCATCCAGCCATCTTTTGTCTCCACGTGCCCTTCGCCGCTTGTTCGGTCAGCTGACCTATAATGAGGACAGAAGGGCAGGTGGCCCAGGTCTGCTCCTCCGGACGATGCCCCGGGTTCCTGGCGTGTGTTCCCAGGAGGGCAGCTCCCCTCGAGCGCACCCTAGGGCTGGGGCAGGTCGCGGGCGTGTCGCCCCAGATCCAGGAAGGAGCAGGACGAGGCGGACAGCGGCTGGCGAGAGCCCGGGCCCAGACCGCGCACCGTCCCTCTGAGCCTGTATGGCAGGCTCGCTGATCTGGTGTCCAGTCTGGCCCAGGTCAGCAGGTGAGAGCAAAGAGCAAAAGCAGCTCCTCCTGGGGGGGTCACAGAGACCCTGGAGCTCGGGGCGGCCCTCTCGGGGTGATGACACAGAAGGGGGCGCTCCGCAGAGTGGGCCCCGCGTCCTGTCTCTGCAGGACAGCTGCAGGGTCCCGGTGCCGCAGCCCTGGTGTTTCCCGGGTTCCTGCGCCTGGGATTCAGGCGGACCTTTGCAGCCAGGCCACCAGGCTGGGCCGTTTGGACACCTGCGTCCCTCCTGGAAAGCTGCTTAAGAGGCTGCCTCGGGCCTTTGTTGGGGCGGGGTCGGGGGGTCGTCGCAGGCCTGCTGGGCAGCTGGAGGGGCTGTCCCTCCCCCACCTGACAAATAGTCTCCTCCTCCCGCCAGTGAGGAAGATCAGTCCTGAGACCTGGGGTAGGCCTCCCCGAAGGCCCCCCAGTGCTGGCAGACCCTGGCCTTCATCTGCAGCTCACACAGACCCGAGGGCTCAATCTTCTGCAGTGGCTCTCCGCCCTGCAACGCTTTGAAAAAGCCGGTGGGCACCTGTCGCTTGGTCTTTCTGCCCAAGCGGGACGGGGTTGGGGTCCACAGGACAAAGGTGGGGCTGGACCACAGATCCAGCCCAGCCCAGCCCACGGGCCTTGAAGGTGTTCCTTTCCGTTTTGCCTTTTTTTAAAAAACAAGTAATAAAACATTCGTGACTTTAAACTCTTAGAGCACAATTTTTAACAAAGGCCAGTCTCCATGACCCCAGCCCCACCTCGAGAGCAGGATCTAGGAGTTCGTGCATGGCAAGGAACCTCTCTGGGTCTCCAGGCCCCTCAGCCTGTCAGGAGCGGGCCCTGAGTGCTGGCTTCGTGGCACTGGACGTGGGGGGTGGTCAGAGCTTGCCCGCTGCTCACTTCACAGAGAGGTGGGTCTGGAAGCACTGGGTGGGCGGGAGGTGGGGTCAGTGAAGGGCTGGGGGACGGTGAGCCAAGCCCTGGACAGCAATCCTGGGATGGCCATGCGGCTGGAGACCCCTGGGCCTCAGAGCCAGAGGGTCTGTGTCGTCTTGGAGACCCTGACCCATGGGGACGACACGCGCACTGAGTGGCTTGCACCGGCCGACGGTGCCACCCTGGGTGGCCTGGGAGCCCTGGCGCTTCCCCACGGAACGCGGGGCTCTGATCCACGCGCGCGGCCTTCTCTTTCCCAGGGATCGCCGTGTGCAACATCCCGTCCGCGGCGGTGGAGGAGACGGCGGACTCGACCATCTGCCACATCCTTAACCTGTACCGGCGGAACACCTGGCTATACCAGGCGCTGCGGGAAGGCACGCGGGTGCAGAGCGTCGAGCAGATCCGGGAGGTCGCCTCGGGGGCCGCGCGCATCCGCGGGGAGACGCTGGGCCTCATTGGCTTCGGTACGTGCGCCCGCCCACCGCCTGGGGAGGGGCTGCCGCAGGGACCCTCTGGGAGGCGGAGGCCCGGCCCTGGAAGTCGGGCTTCACCGCAGCTGTAGGAGGGAGGCCGTCTTGGGCCAGAGGAGGGCCATGGCTGCCTGGGCTGGGAGGTCAGCGGTCAAGGCTGGCTCGGGAGCTGACTCCCAGGAAAGATGGGGGCTGCTTCTGGAAGATGGCGCCTAATGGGTGTGGGGAAAGGGAGGAGGCGGCAGGAGGGCGTCCCCAGGGAGGAGCCGTGCTCCCTGACCGCCCCCGGGAGCAGATGTGAAGGGCAGGGGCACGCGTGGCAGCTGGTGCCCGGGTGGAAACCTAGGCAGTGGGCTGGGCACCCGGAGGTGCCAGGCAGGGGTGGGAGCAAGGAGTCTCTGATGGATTTCCAGCCAGGTCAGATCATCAGCTTGGAAGACTCACCAGGGGAACCGTGAGACCCAGGTGGCCGCTCTGGGCGGGCCTGGGGCGGGTTAGCCCGGTGGGAAGCTGGGGGCGGGGGGCACGCTGGGTGCAGAGCAGCCAGACTGCCCAGCTGTAGGCAGCATAGGGGCCCGAGGCAAACAGGAGGGGGCTCTGGCTTGCTGCTGCTGCTCGTCAACCCTGCTCCTTCCCGTTCTGTGACCTTGGAGGGAAGGTCAAGAACTCTAGCTCAAAGATCTTCCAGGACTGGACCTCTCTCTGCCTCAGTCTTCCCGTCTGTACACTGGGGATGAGTGATACACAGCAGCTGCCCCTTAGAACTCAAAAAGGAGGCATGAGAAGCCCATGGGGTCGGTCCCAAAGGAGGCATGAGAAGCCCGTGGGGTCGGTCCTGACTGCAGGGCTTGGCTTCCAGAAGGTTCCCCCAAGCTGGCCCTCAGCCCTGAGCTTGGAGCTATGTGTGTCTGAATAACAGGACCCCTGGGATGGCCATGGTGCCAGCTTCAACAGGTAGAGGGAGCATCTTCCAGGAACGCACATCTTTCCCACACCCAGGTCTTGAGTCTAAGAGCCCAGGTGTCAGGGGTGATTGATCACTCTCTCAGGAGGTAAACTTGTTACAAGAGCCCAACTTCATTTTTTTCTTGAGTGGAAGACAGAAAAGGACTAAGAAATGCTGGCACTGAGCCACAGCACCCTCTGCTGGTGCCGCAGGGCTTCCTGCCACTCTAGGAGGTGGGTCTTGGAGCTGGTTCATAGACCATCATGCGTTCTCAAGCGGGCGAATGGGCCCCAGGTGGGCTCTGGCCACCATTAAGAGCCTCACCATGTGAGTGGCCTGGCCACGTGGAAGAACACTTGTTTCCATGGCTTCTGACTCCAGGCATCACAGCAGGTTTTTAGAGGGGTCGTTTCTCACGCTGTATCCTTCCCCATCGGCCTTCTGAAGGCCAGTCCTGTGATGCCAGCCCGCCTGCTCCAGGCTGTAAACCAAGCACCCCACCCCACCCCCCCCGCCGGTCACGGTGGCCCATACACACTGTTTCTCCCTGCTGACTCTGCTGGTCTCTCTGTAGCTTCCCAGAACTGCAGGCGGACCCGAGACAGGAGGGCGCTCAGTCGTGGGCAGCCTCGCCCCCCTGCTGCCCGCCATTCGGGGTGGAAGCACCCACTTGCCTAAGACTCTGCCCCGCTGCGGCAGCAGGTCCCCGAGTGTGGAGCGGGTGCCGCCAAACCCAGTTCATGCCGCCATGTGGGGGCCTGGACGGGCCGTCCCGAGCTTGACCCCGGCCTGGGCTGGCCTGAGGATGGTGCTCAAGGCCAGCCTCCAGGTTGGGGACGAGCATGAACGTCTGAGGGAAAGCCTGCCGTCGGTGACAGTGTGTGTGTGTGTGTGTGTGTGCACGTGCACACTAAGGCCAGGACAGTTGGGCTCTCTCTGAGACTGGGCTTTGACCAAGTCAGTCAGAGAATCCATCGTCAGGTATTGTACAGTTTAGTGAGGAAAACCCCATGGTGGAAAGATGAGGGTCTGTGAATTTGCGAGCGGCAGAGCCGTGAGACGTAACGGTGAAGCTGGCCGTGACCCTCAGCCCCTGGAGCCGCCACCCAGACCCCATCTCCCCTTAAAGCGTCCGGACGCGGGGCGGGGAGGGGGGCGGCGGCTGAGGATCCACGAAGCAGGGTTGGCTGTGAGCTCCCGGCAGCCGCGCGGTGGGTCGGTGTCCCGTGTATCAGGTTCCTCAGGGGAGAGTCTTTAGGTCACCCTTGTTCTTCCTGGCCTGCCACGCCAGCTCCTCTGCCGCGTGTGGCTGTAGCTCCTGCTTCACCGTGTGGAAGTGGTGACCCTGGGGAGGGCTGACATGAGGGGTATCCTGGTGACCCCTGCAGCTGTCCCTCTTGAAGGGCCTTCTGAAAGCTTTGCCTCCAAGCACGGCCGCTGTTCCCAGTGCTGCTTGAGATGACGGTCCCGCTGGAGGGGGAGCCAGCCCACCGCCCTCTGGGGGGCCTCCCTGTCCCCTTACCCCCCTGCACAGTGGAGCGGTGGTCTTCCCACCAGGATTTCTGCTGTGCTGTCCCCGAACCATCAGCCCCTTCAAGCATCATTCACACCATTTTGTGTTCAAGCTGAAAACTGCTCTGGGAAGTAAAGAAGCTCCATCCCTGGGGGGTCAGTGCGAGTCAGGGAAGCCTTCACGTCCTGTTAGGTGATGTCGCTGACTTGCCAGAGGGTCCGGCCCGTGCTCCTCACAAGCTCAGAGCCCCACCAGACTGGTTCCCCATGGCGATGAGTCCTCAGGCCAGAGTGCAGTAATCAGTTTCATTTTAACCCCCTTCATGAGCAAACACACCTAGTGGTAATTACATAAAACAGTCCCTGCGTGACACTGCGAGCGATGACGAGATGAAGCTCAGCTTAGGAAAGCTGCTGCGTAAGGAAACGAGGAGGGAAAGAGAAACACAAGGGGAGAGGATGCTGGTGGTCGGGAGGCAGGAGACAGGCACGTGGGGGCCGCTAGGTTGTTCGCTCCGCTTATGTTTATGTTTGAAAATGTGCATGATGATGACTGTTTTGAAAAAAAGCAACATCTGTGAGTAAGCCCAGTTGGTAAGCATTGCATTGCTCACCCAGGAAGCTGGCCGGGCTTCTGCCCAAGTGACCCAGCAAGAAGTGCTGGCGCGGCATCGCCAAACCTTGAGTGTTCGATTCCTCCAGCAGCCACCACTGCTTGGGTCCAACTGCCAGCAGGCACAGCCAGCCCCAGGTTCCCGGTCCCAGAAACAATGCAGGCAGCAGAGGTGGGGCGCACCCCGCAAGGCCCCCCAGTCTGGCGACGAGGAGCGGCAGGAGGGGCCGGCCTCACTCACCGGGACGCTCTCTTTCCGCACAGGTCGCACAGGGCAGGCGGTTGCCGTTCGAGCCAAGGCCTTTGGATTCAGCGTCCTATTTTATGACCCCTACTTGCAGGATGGGACGGAGCGGTCCCTGGGCGTGCAGAGGGTCTATACCCTGCAGGACTTACTGTACCAGAGCGACTGCGTCTCCCTGCACTGCAATCTCAACGAACATAACCACCACCTCATCAATGACTTCACCATAAAGCAGGTAAATGGAGACAGGCACTGGAGAACTTCTCTCAGGATGAAAGGGGAAATGGGAAATGTCTTTGGACCCACCAACCTCCACTGTAGCCCCACTTTCCTCCTGAAACCTCGGTACCGGCACCTCCTGAGGGGGCAGCATCTGCTCACCAGCTTCTCTCCCGCTCCCCCACCCCCCAGATGAGGCAAGGCGCCTTCCTAGTGAACGCGGCCCGCGGAGGACTGGTGGATGAGAAAGCCTTAGCCCAAGCCCTCAAAGAAGGCAGGATACGAGGGGCGGCCCTCGACGTGCACGAGTCGGAGCCTTTCAGGTTGGTTTGGGGAGACTGTGGAGATGTGTGCAGCTGGAGCTCAGGATTCACACACAGGGACTTGTAGGACCCAGGTCCTCACCCGACTCCTCGCTGTGAACTTGGGGCAGCTGACCAGACATGTCCTGGGGAGGCAGCTTTAACCAGAGGCTAAAGGACTCCGTGCTTCTAAGGGCTGTGCTGTATTCTCATTAAGGGTAAAAGGGCTGGAAGTTCTCCCCAAAGATCACCAGAAAGGGGGCAGGCAGAAAAATAGTGATGGAGAGCAGGCTGTGCGTCCACAGCCTGACCGTCCTGGTGAGAAGCAGGCTGGCCAGTCCTCCATAGCACTGTTTCCTCTTCCCAAGTACTCCTGACAGTATAATTACAAAGCAGTTGTATGAGTGTGTTCTGGAAGCCCCAACACCCTAGAACACAGACTGCAGAATCCCTGTTTTGTCTGCGTTAGCTAACATCCCACATGGCCAAAGGAGCTCCCTTTTGACCAGTCAGACAGGGAGTGATTGCACTCGTCTCATTTCCTGTGTTTTGTACGTTCACCCAGCTTTGCTCAGGGTCCCTTGAAAGACGCACCGAATCTCATCTGTACTCCCCACACAGCCTGGTACAGTGAGCAAGCCTCACTGGAGATGCGGGAGGCAGCCGCCACCGAGATCCGCCGGGCCATCACGGGTAAGCAGGCCCCAGACGCAGGGGTGAGAGGGCTTGCCGTGGGCAGGACTTGCTTTTAGGGGTCAAGTCGAAAAACTGTGAATGAACTGGGCCATGCTTCTTTCAGAGGGAACCAATCCCCTTTCGTATTAGCCAATGTGAAGTTTTGCGGACCTGGAGGGGAAGCCGCCCTTCTATTAGGCTGAGGGACCCATGTGGCTCAGACCCTGGAACAGGTCATATGTTGCGAAATTTTAAGAGCCAGCCCTGCCTATTAACGAGTCAAGAGACTTAGTGGTTGAGACTTTGCCTTCCAGTGTAGGGTGTGCGGGTTTGATCCCTGGTCGGGAGCAAAAAGTCCCACGTGCCTTGTGGCCAGAAAACCAAAACCTACAGAGTACTGTAACCAAGACTTTTAAAATGGGTCCACATCAAGAAGTCTTTTTTAAAAGTAAAGAGACTAGCATGGTAGTTGTTCCCCCAAAACAGCTAAGTATAATATTTAAACTTCATTGTATGATTAATTTCAATCATCTTATTCCAGGTCGCATCCCAGAGAGCTTAAGAAACTGTGTGAACAAGGAATTCTTTGTCACAACAGCTCCCTGGTCAGTAATAGATCAGCAAGCAATTCATCCAGAGCTCAATGGTGCCACATACAGGTGAGGAGAAGAATGGCCAGATCCCTGCTCCCCGGGGGGGGGGGGGGGGGGGGCAGAAAGCCAAGCACTGGCCGGAAATCCGGTCCCGTCCCCTCCCCTCATCCCTGGTTTCTGTGGAGCAAATTTAAATTTCGGGGCAGAGCCTAGAACTGGAATTCCTATTTTAAAGGACCCAGACTTTGAGCCACTGAGCCAGGATGTGATTAAATACGTGGTGTGTGTGACAGGACCTGTGCTCAGGAAAGCTCCTGCTCTGGGAAAGCGGGGCTATTTCTTCCCAGGTCCCATGGCTTTATTTACATTTCACAGGTTCCATTAAAGTCCTGCTAGTGTTTCATCCTCATAAGCATTTTCAAGCCTCACTTGAGCCCAGCCCCAATTGGATTCCCCTGTACCCTTTAAGGGTCACATCCTACTCATTCCTCTGGGCACAGCAAGGCTCCTTGGCCCCTAGGAAAACTGCTTGTGCTGGAGGGGCTTGCAGCTCACAGGGATCCTGTCAGTCAAGAGTCCCCTTGGGTGGTCCATGACCAGAGTCACTGTCACAGGCCATAGGAAGAGGGGTGGCATAGCTTCCAGAGGGAAACACCATCCCCTTCACTGCAAGTGTGAAGGGTTGGGTTACTCAGATCAATTCTAAAGCCCCTGCCTCATAAGTACATTCTGTCCTCAAAAAATGTGAATGTACTGAGTCACGTTTGTGCACCGTGTACACACATACAGCCATCCTTGTGCCTGCAGTATAGGACGAACCCACGTTCAGCTGCCCTCCAGGTTATCTTCAGGGGGCAGGCCTCCAACCCATGGCCAGCTCACCATCTCCCCTGCTACCCTTCCACATCTCAAGTTACCGGAGCTCATGACCAACCAGTAAGTCACACCTAGTAAGTGTACTTCATGCTGTTGGTGAAGTGGAAGTCGCTCAGTGGTGTCTGACTCGTGACCCCATGGACTATACACAATCCATGAAATTCTCCAGGCCAGAACACTGGAGTGGTTGGCCTTTCCCTTCTCCGGAGGATCTTCCCAACCCAGGGATTGAACCCAGGTCTCCCACATTGCAGGCAGATTCTCTACCAGCTGAGCCACAAGGGAAGCCCATGCTGTTAGGAAATCATTAGATCCATTGATAATAATAGACCCCGAGAACTCAAGTCTGTTTCGTACAAAAATGCTTGCCCAATGCAACACAGTTTCCCCAAAAACAGTATGGGTTATGTCGTCTAAAAGCTACAAAATTAGTGTTTCACTATTTATGAATTAGGAAGTTTAAACACTGACATCTGTGTGGATTTCTCCTTGCTTTGGAGGTAAGAAGTTACTATATTTATAGATATATATTCCATAAAAAAGCCAAGAGGTCAGCAACTTCCTGACCCTGAACTTAACCAGCCCTTTCTCTTGTGTGCTCCTCAGATACCCGCCAGGCATCGTGGGCGTGGCTCCGGGAGGACTTCCTGCTGCCATGGAAGGGATCATCCCCGGAGGCATCCCGGTGACCCACAACCTCCCCACAGTGGCACATCCCTCCCAAGCTCCCTCTCCCAACCAGCCCACGAAACACGGGGACAATCGAGAGCACCCCAACGAGCAATAGCAACGAGTGACGAAAGGTAATCATTCAGATACACCTGGGACCAAGAGACAGTGAAAAATAAATGAACTAAGAGAAAAGGAATTTGACAGTCTTTTTAACTGATTCTGGACATATGCATCATTGACGTTGCAGTGTTACAACTACAAAAGAGCTAGAAGCCGAGACGTGGGAAAACTGAAGATGTTGTCGTCTGCTTGCGGAAGCGCTGAAAGAGACTAGGACGTGATTTATTAACGACCAACTTCTGTTATTGTGTGTTAAGTTTTTCATCTGTGCATCAAATCACAAAGAATAAATAGATCTTTTTCCTTTATCAGTCCCTTGGGCACAGGAGGTCCTGAACACCTTGCTCTAGAATGTTGCATCAAGAGTTCCAAACATCAAAATAAAATATTAAGAGGAAATCCCCACCCTATGACTCTAGTCCCTTCGGTCCACGGGGCTGGTTACCTCTTTTGCTAATAGGAAGATTAAATTACTACAAAATGGGGAGAAAGCTGTCTGCCTGTGTTAGACACCGTAAGCACAGGATTGAAGACAGTACAGGCTCCTGTACAGAGAATTCTCTCCCATCTGAACTGCATACTGAGCGGGCAAGTTGATTGTGAGTTCAGTAAAACCCTCTGATGATGCAAAAAAGAAAAAAGTATTAAGTTTCACAAGCTGTTTGTACTCAAATATATTTTCTCAGTTTCAGATCCTCAGCTATTTTATTGAGTGGAAAGTCTTGAACTGAAAGGGTTCAAGAAGAATAATGTTGCATTTCCTTATGTCTCAGGAAACACTTTTTATGGTAACTTGTCAGATTGTCTATGAACAAACCCACTTTTTTAGACATTGATAAAGTCTTCTTTTCTTCACGTGATATTTTATACAAGAACACTTCAGGTGTGTTATTAGATGTGACTGATTTTAACAAATCCTATTAGATTTGTATCAACTAGTTACATGTTATATTCATAGTCTTTTGTGAATCATCGCCTTTTTGTTTAAAAGATGGCCTATTTTGAGCCTTTGTATAGGTACATTCCTGTTTTTGTGACAAAAAAAAAAAAAAACCTTTAAAACTGTCCCAAACAGAAAAATAATGGCTATCAGAAATATGTTTTGTTTTAGTGTGAGTTACCGTTACTGTATTTGTTTATTGTAAAGGTGGACATTTAGCGTTCAGTGCAGTTTTCAATAAAAAGTAATAAAAATTTCTGTTAAGCTTTGAAATTCAAGTACATCTCACTAATGTAAAAGTTCTCTCGAGATGTTAACTGCATTCTCAATTAGCCCCTTCCCAACTCATTATTCCCAGGTTCAAAGATTAACAATCCTTTCCTATCTTATTTCATAACCAGACTCAAGAATGCTGGTAATTACTTCATGTGATAAACCAAAACTTCACACATGTCCATCCTTAGGAAGAAATGGGTGGGTTAGAACTAAGTCAATTCAAGAAACAAAATTGGTCAAGTTTTAGTTTTGATTTTAATTTACCCAAAAGTAAAATTACCTGACCCAAGCATTAATGCAGGAAGGGAGGTGAATCTCAAAAAATTGTTTGTAAATGGTATTTACAAAGAAATGTTGCAAAATAATTAACATCAGTCATTTTCATGTGTTAAGAACTTTCAGTTGATTTAATGAGTCTTCCTTTCTCAAATAGCATTAAATCCCTTTTGTAAATGCTGGTTAAGTCCAACAAGTCCAGATATCAAACACCTTTACAACTGCCCCGCCTCTCTCCATTAAAAAAAAGTCATGGCAACTGAAAACATCAACCTCCTCACTCATTTTAAGGTGGTGGTCCCATCCCAACTCTCCCATGAAAAATTACACTAAAACCACCTGACGTGGATCAAGGTGGAGCGCATAGTCACTGACCTATATCATCACTCCAGGGAGCGGAGCGGCGATTCACTGTCGTCTTCATAACCACTTGTCAAACGGGTAATCTGTGCGGGGATGACATTTGCACACCAAGGAGACCCCAACTGCCTATGCACAGCGGTATTCCCTTAACACAGACTAGTCTGTCACAGGATGAGCCTAAGAGCCAAAAACATGAAAAGGCAGGTCCAAATCCATGACTTTTAATTAGAACAGAAACCACCACACTGTATTCTCCCAAGAGGAGGAACCGTAAAGTCAAGTCCATACAGTTAAGATATTACTGTCCAGAGTCAACCAAAAGACACTGAGTTATCTGTCACCCCGCCACATGGAATCTGAGAAAGGACTGCAAATTCTGTCTTGGGACAATAGTTATGGCTGTTTGATAGTTCAAGAGCTTAACATAGCACTGACTCACCAAAATGTTAGCCTTTACCAGCCAATCTGATGTGAAAACCATTTAAAGCTCCACCCTGTCTGGAGCCTAGGAACTGGAGTCATACATATACACACACACACACATATATAGTTCTTTCCCACAGGGAAGAATGCTGTACCTGTTCAGCTAGATGTGGCCAGGGTCCCTGGTCTATAAATAAATAAATAAATAAAGAGGCACCTCGGGGGACACATCGCTCAGCAGACACAGCACACGGAGGCCGGAGCCCAAGCTGCAGCTCCCCGCACAGCACTGACTCTCCTGGAGACCCTAGCCACCAGATGCTGCTCCCTCAGACCTTTCTCTTTGGCTTCTTCAACTGGCTTAACCGCAACTGGAATGGGTTGTCTGGCCACTACAGAATTCTCCCTATATATGAAGAAAAGTTCATGGGGATGCTATGCTAAGTAGTCAGAATGGCAGCCTTCTAAATCCTTGCTTAATTACTGTCCAAAACAAAAGCAAACCAGAATGTCAATTTTGTAAGAAAACATCAGCCCCTTGAAACAGTAACATACCAATATTATATCAAAATTCATTTATATGGAATCCAAATGCAAATATTTTTCCTGCATGTTTTAGCATGCAGCAGCAGCAATTCTTTCATCCTGGGAACGCCTTTCAGGGAGGGAAGAAAGAACTAAAGAAATGACATCTCACAGGTATTTTACTATTTTTAGTATTTCAGCATCAAATCTGAGGTTGTGCACATTTCAATACCATCTAAATAGAAGAAAACAAGAAGCAAATATTTAAAGGTTTTCACAGCCTTTTTATCAAAGGGAAAGAGAGTGTGTGTGTATGTGTGTTTGAAATTCCTTGCCACATCAATACTCTACAAAGTGCTTATCAGGACACTAAGTCTCTCTGTGTTCCTGAGATAGGTCTGAAATTTTTACCCAGTATTGAATGTATACCTGAAGTGGTCAAATAATACTTTTTATAGAAAGTTTTTCTACCTAAGATTATAGTTATAACTTTAAATAAGAATGGCCACAATTAACCAACATGCAAAAATTCTCAGACTACTCACTGAGAAATTCATTATACAATGCATTTAACCACCTTACTGCATTCTGAAAATCTTTATTCTATTCTGAACAGAAATTCGCAATTAGCCCAAGCAAAGGCATGCCTTTCTAACACAATTTGCTTAAAGCAGAGTTGATGATAAAGAATCCAAAGACCCTCTGCACAGCAACTTGGGAGTCTAATGTCCACAGAGGCAAGTGAGCAGATTTCACATAATTCATTCAGTTCGAGTGGGCCAGCTGCTGCCCTAATGTACATCCATGGGGTAACTCCTCACAAGGAGACTGCTGCCCAGAGTCTGGTGGAGGAAGCCTCAGTTTAAGAGCACTCTTCCAAACAAATAAATACCTAAATACTGAAAGGCGGCTTATCAGAAACTGAAAAAGACAAAATAAGAGAAACCAAAACCCTTTTCCAAACAAGGGAAGGATGTCTACATGAAGTTCACTCAATAAAAAATTCTGACTTTCCTTACAGTTTGTTCCTTAAAGATTTTATTGGGCACAACAGGAGCTAAATTACTAATAAAAAATAAAAGCTTGTTTTTATTTTTATGTTTTGCTATGGATAATTTGTACAAAAAGTTTCCAAATCTCTAAGGAGCTCTAGTGAGACAGAATGTAAAATGGATCTTTTAAGATGGAAGTAGAATGCCAGGTTCTACTTTAAAAAGAATTATCTCAAAGGAACAAAGAGTGACCTGCCATGTGCTTTTGGAGGTGCCCATGCTGGAAAAACTTCTCAATAATATGAAGATGCTGGTACAACTTGTCCTATTACACAACTTCTTACACAACCACATGCGTTACATTTATAGACAGATTTACAATCTGAAAGGAAAAAAGTTCTGTCTTAATAAAATTAGTTTTTTTTCTTTTTTACAAACTGTAGTCCAAAGCTCTCTGTCTCCTCATGCCGCAGACACATCGGCTCTGTTGGGTGTGGATCAGGAGAAACCCTTCCAAGCAGATCCTGCCAGGTTCACTTCACTCCACGCTGTGCGCTCTGCTTGGAGCAACACACGCAAGTGGGGTCCCCCACAGAGCGGATACCCTGGTCTTCTGGTCTCAGATTTTTTTTTTTCATTCATCTTCATCATCTTCGTCTTCCTCACCATCAGACAGGGATGTACAGGGCCGAATCTGCCGGTAGCGGTCAAGCCATTTCTCCACCATCTGCGTGACCAGGGGGTGATTTCGCCGCCGAGAGCTCTTCTGCATGGCCACGAGAACACCCCCCTCCGTCACACAGCAGTCTAGCCACTCCCTGAGCAGCTTCTCTTGCTGTTCCTCGTTACCTAGCTTTGAGAGGGACGTGAAGAAAAGGGAAAATAATGAGACAGATCAGAGGCCTGACAGCAAAAATTTCAGAGAGACCTACAGCTGGTATGATTAACGAAACGGCCAGAGCAACGAAGTATTTCGACATGGTTCCTACCCTCATCAATTTTATGTTTAAAACCTTACCAGTTAAATAGGAAAAAAATATCAACTTGAAAATTCACAGACAAACCTAGAGGGAAGAACAGCCTACTGATAAGTTCATTTGTTTGATATAATGACATAAAGCAAGTGTCATCCAATAAATTGATTCTGGCAAAGAAAACTAGAAAGAAAACCTGCAGCTTCAAAAAGAACAAGGTAAGTTTGCTCAGAAAGTTATGTATAGGGTGAAGTTACAGAAATTATCTATGAATTTTTTTCTTAATGTAATGCTTATAAAAGTTTTATAATAATTACCAGTATATTAAATAAAAGACCAATACTTTTTATAAGAAAATGGGTTTTCCGCGAGTGTTCTTTCACACCTCACCACTGCCCTGCCAGGTCCACATCACTTCCCTGCGGCTCCAGGGAGCTCCTACCTGCTGCTTCCACCACTGCCCAGGTACCTAGTCTCATCTGAGCAGCCAGTGCGCCTCTTCTGCGCACCCAGAGTAAAAGTCAGAAAGATTTAAGAGACTGCTGACAGCCGCCCCGTGGCCTCAGCCTCGCCTCCCCACTTCGCCCAAGTCCCCACAAGCCACACTGGCCTTTCAAATCCCTCTGCTACAACTCTCCTCCCCCAGTTTTTGCAAGACTCCTTTCTCTTGAAGTCTCAATTTAGGTGCCACCTCCTCAGTGACATCTTACCTTACCCCCAGCTAGTTCAGTCATGGACACCCTGCACCCCATCCCTCCCTTTCCCCCTCACCCCATCTTTTTACTTCTCCTCAGCACTCATCACTACCTGAAGGCATGGACTTTTATCTTCACTGCTTTATCTCCACACAACACATCCTACACAGCTGTTCTTTTTTTAAAAGGTAAATTTCAGTCTGTCTGACCAGTATTTACAGAAAGTGATGACCAAATTCAAATTCAAAACTGAAGTGGTAATACAGATAACAGCACACCCAAAAGACACACAAGGCCGGGTTCTGGCACAGCGCTGCTACTTTAAGTAGTTAATGAGAGAAACACGTGTCTTACCTCCTGAGCAGAAAGGAAGTGCACATGGAGTAACTTCCTCTCACTGTCAACCAGAGGCAGAAATGTGATGGTGACATCATCATCGGTGTTCAGGTTAGCACCAGCACCTCGGTTACCATAGCCATCATTTTCCATGGCAACCAAAGCAGAGAAGTGGCCCCTTGTATAGCCCAGAGCAATCGGACTTTTCCAACAAAAACTCTGTTCCCACAACAAAGGCAAATACACACCTGGAGAGAGGGAAGAAAATCACAACGGGATTTTCAGGATATGACTGCAATGTGCCTTAAAATAATAAACAATAAAGTTCCAAAATACTAATGATAATGGTTTACCTTGAAACCGAGTATATCCTAAAGTTTCTCCCCGAAAACTTTTATAATATTTTACTCCATAAACTATAATTGGTCGTCTAAGAATATGTGCAAGTACAAAAATGTGAGTCTGCTCCAAACTTGCTCCAGGCTGTACAGAACAAAACAAAAGAAAGAATTTCTCTTAAAACATCACTACCACCCTGGAAAACTGACATGTATAAAATGCTGCCCTCCTTCAGCACACTATCTCCATTCATTAAAAAAAAAAATACAGTAATACTACTGTCAAGCTAAAGAGTGATTCCTCAAATAGGAAAGTCCAATAAAAGAAATCTGCAAAGCTTATATACAGATATCCTTTGCTATCCAAAACTCAAGAACAGATTTGGTTAAATATTGATCTGAGGAATAAGAGATTAAGACAGCAAAGTAAGTTTTATTTATATAACTGCCTTCCGGTTAAGTTCCTCATGAAAGTACTACCTACAACAGGGACCTCCGGAAGTGAAAAGATGAGCCTGATTGTCTCACAGGAATACAAACAGCTTGCAAATGGCCACATCACCTAACACAAGAATACTCAACTGGTCTCCTTTCCTCAGCAGGGATTCTGACAGCACCTTTATAGCAGGTACATGTCTGAGACATGTACCAAAGGGTGAACCCCGCCCAAATGACCCAAAGACAGAAGGGACTTCCCTCACATGGTACTAATGAATTATGGTGTTTTCTACAAAGAAAAGAAGTGATTTGTTGTGCATATACATGAACTTTACAGTTTAGTATATTAATGAAAGTGAAAGCTGCTCAGTTGTGTCCAACTCTTTGAGACCCCATGGACTATATATATAGTCCATCAAATTCTCTAGGCCAGAATACTGGAGTGGGTAGCCTTTCCCTTCTCCAGGGGATTTTCCCCACCCAGGGATCAAACCCAGGTCTCCCGCACTGCAGGCGGGTTCTCTACCAGCTGAGCCAGCAGGGAAGCCCAAGAACACTGGAGTGGGGAGCCCATCCCTTCTGCAGCGGAGCTTCCCCACCCAGGAGCCAAATTGGGGTCTCTGGCATTACAGGCAGATTCTTTACCAATTGAGCTATGAGGGAAGTATATTAATAACACTACACAAAACCAGCATGAGTCTGAGGGACAACTCAACACATCTATACAAGTTCATTCCAAATCACTTCTGTCCACGGAGACTTCTCCTTGGCCTTCCTCACGTGGACAGAGCATCAATGCGGGAGCCCTACGAAGACCACAGCTTGATCCTCAGGGGCCTGAGAGCGCACCATCAGCACAGGAGTGCCCATTATCAGTGAGGGATCTTGGACACAGAACGGGAGCTGACCACAGGTGGGTAAAACAGGCATAAAGCTGCCATTTTTTAAATTTTTATTTGAGTATAGTTTATTTACAATGTTGTGCTAGTTTCTGCGGTAAAGTGAAATCATTTATACATACACATACATCTACTCTTTCTTAGATTCTTTTCTTATAAAGATTGTTACAGAGTTCCCCGTGCTATCAGTAGGTCTTTAGTTATCTATTTTATATGTAGCAGTGCGTATATGTCAATCCCCAAAAGCTACCTCTCCGTGAGGACGACATAACTGAAGAGCAATCTGAGGAAATATTTAGGAGGTTAGAATCTCCAAGTAAAACTTTCACTTTGACAGTTTTTTAATCACTTAATATAAAAACATACTGCCCTCCCTGTTCGGCAGTGAGGCCTATGGTCACAGAGCCAATAAACAGCAGTCAGTGGAAGCCGAGTCACCTGATGCCAGGTCCACGACTCTCCTCTGTACACCCTGCTCTGACGTGGTCTCACTGTAAAACCACGGCACGCAGAGCAGCTGCCTCACTTTCTTCAGAGAAGCAACATGCCTAGAAGCATTCTTACCTGACTAGCAAGAGACAGTATAAATGCCCAGTCTTCTTGCCACTGTTCTTCTCTCAAGGAAAAATGTAAACCAAAGCTCTGAGAATACCAGGACTCCCAATCTTTCCAACGTGTGTAAAACCTAAAAAGCAACACAGTAAAAAAGAAGCCTTTCTATAAACAGTTCATTTAATGTTCTAATCATTTATTTAACATAGTCTTCAAGCACTTCATATGCAGAGATTTAATAATTCATTTTACCTGGCTTGAAGTAAAATTTTCAAATTAAAAATGCCTCCATTCTGCTAGCAGACATTTTTTAACATATCTTCAGACATAATCTGATTCACCACCCACCAAACTTTCATCAGAACTTCAAACACTAATGACAAGAACTGCCAATTTCAACTGTCTACTACTGGTTTACAAATAAAAAAGAAAAACACTCAAAATCATCTGATAGCTTGGATAAAATCAAAGACACTTTACTCCATTAATGAATAGTATCCACTACTTGGTCACAGACTTAGAAATAGCCCACGTGTTTATGAGAATATCAAAATCACTTCCTTGAGATTTCATTACATAAAATTATTCAAATATCACATAATAAAAAAATGCAACTACAAAAATAATCCCCTCTTTATGCTTAATACCCCTTTAATACTTCAGCCTAATAAATCATGAAGATTAAAAATCAAACTAGGCCACTGGTAGACTGAATTACTAAAACAAAACATTCTTTTTCTTTATAACATCAAGTATACAATTAAATAAAGCCAGATATAATTACATTGAAAACTATGATCCACTGTCTTACAAACAAGCCAGCAAAAGCCTCTGAAGACAGATTAACCAGTAACAGATTACAAACTGTTAACCAGTTTGTAACATTACAATCCTCTCACATGTAATGAAGTATAAATCCCCAATACTTCTTTGTACTTGAAATCTAGGTGAAAGAATCAAAAGATCAGAAAACATTCTCTTGCTATTGTTGAAAAGTTAAGGTATTAAATGTCTTAGTGTCACATGTTTCTTTAACTTAATGCAGGGTTTTGTAAAAAGTAAATTAATGTTATTTTAGATTTAAAATACAATGTTACAGAGGCTTAACTCTTGATTAGAAAAAAACTTTTTTCTATTTCCAGTGACCACAGGTTTTTTTCTGTATAAGTCAGGAATGTAAGTTTCAATGCCAAATGTTTAAAAATAAAATATGGATATCCCTCTTTTAAAATACATAAGATATACAGACATATATTTTAATGCACAAAATGACAAAATACATTGTTTTGGTATCAGTTCAGGAGAATTACTGTGAAACAGAAAGTTATTACAAACTGAAAGATATATGTGATAAGAAATTTCCTGGTTAGTGCCTAAAATCATTTTAATATTTAGACAACTAAATTTGCCAGAAATGATGACTGCACTCAAAACTAAGGAAGACTGTAGAATAAAGGGGTTCAAAAATATATTTTAAAATCATACCCACCACACAAAGACCTAAACTGTAAATCTACCTGGCTCAGACATGCACACAAATCCAGGAACATGAGACTAAGTGAGACAGCAATACAAGTTTGGCTTAACATTCAAAAGTCAACTTCAGGATCATGGATGATAAGACTCAACAATCTATTTGATAATACTCCCCAAATTAATCTCCACATTTAGTGCAATTTCTATCAAAATCTCAGAGAGCTTTTCTGCAGAAGCTAGAACCTAAAATTTACCTAGAAGTCCAAAGGCTTCAGAATAGCAAAAAGAATCTCAAGAAAAGAAGGATAAAGTTGGAAGACTTAATACTCCTGATTTCAAAACCTACCACACAAAGCTATCATCATCAAGATAGTCTAACACTGGCATACAGACAGACATATAGATCAACAGGAAAAAACAAGAGTCCAAAAACAAACCTTTATTTTATGAAAATATTTTTCAACAAAAGTACCGAGTACTTGAATGGAAAAAAATAAATTTAAAAACTGTAAATAACTATAATAAATGCTAAGGGCTCTCTAGTGGAAAAAGACGGCATGCAAGAACAGATGGGCAATTTAGACAGAGAGATGGAAAGACAGAACCACAATGAAATTCCAGAGAGCAGAAGCACTAACAGAAATGAAAGTATTTTTGACAGCTTTATTAGTAGACTGGACTTGGCTAAAGAAAGAACCTCTTAAAGATACATCAATACAAAACTTCAAATCTAAAAAGAGAAGATAACATGGACCAAAAAACAGAAGAATAACTGTGGGACAACTACATAAGGTACAACATATGATGTCACAGACAGGAAAGAGGGAGGAAAAGTAACAGGAAGAGATACTTGGAACAGTAAGGACTGAGAATTTCACAAATTAATGTCAGACACCACACCACAGATGCAGGAAGCTCAGAGAAAACCAAGAAGGAAAATCGCCAGAAAAACCACACCTAGACCTATCATCGGAGAGGGCAATGGCACCCCACTCCAGTACCCTTTTGCTTGGAAAATCCCATGGACGAAGAAGGAGCCTGGCAGGTGCAGTCCATGAGGTCGCTACAAGTTGGACACGACTGAGCGACTTCACTTTCACTTTTCACTTTCATGCATTGGAGGAGGAAATGGCAACCCACTCCAGTGTTCTTGCCTGGAGAATCCCAGGGACGGGGGAGCCCGGTGGGCTGCCGTCTATGGGGTCGCACAGAGTCAGACACGACTGAAGCGACTTGGCAGCAGCAGCAGCAGCAGCAGGCATATCATATTCAAATGACAGAAAATTATAAAGAAAAAAGTCCTAAAAGAAGACAGAGTATAAAAAACACCTATAGAAAAATAAAAGAAGTATAACCAACTTCTTGGAAACCATGGATAAAAGCAAGAAGAGAATAAAGTGAAATATTTTTAAAGTTGAGAGAAAAAAAAAACACCAACACAGAATTCTACACCCTGTGAAATTATCCTTCAAAAGTAAACGAGAGAACTGCTCTGGTGACACAGCAGGTAAGAATCCACCTGCCACCACAGGAGACACAGGTCTGACCCCTGGTCGGGGCCGGTCCCACGGGCCGCAGGGCAACTGAGCCTGTGCTCCAGAGCCGCGTGCCACAGCCACTGGGGCCCCGCTCCCAGAGCCTGCGCCCCACAGCCACTGGGGCCCCGCTCCCAGAGCCTGCGCCCCACAGCGAGAGAGGTCACCACAGAGGGGGGCTCCTGCGCTGCGGCGAGGAGGAGGCCCCTCTCGCCACAGCCAGAGAGCGCCCGCAGGTAGCTACACAGACCCAGGACAGCCAAACATAAATAAAATCATTGCTGTTAAAAAAAAACTAAAATAGAAATACATCCCTTTTCAGACAAAAATGGAGGCAATTTGTTGCCAGAGATCTGCTTCATAAATATTCAAAGAAGTTCTTTAGAAAGAAGGAAAGTTAACGCAGATCAGAAATTTTGAACTACATAAAGGTCTTGATCTGCATCAAGAAATAAATTGAAGATAAAATTAAAACATTTTATTTTTTAATCTTAATTGATCTAACAGATATTAGTCTATTCAAAATAATAGCAACAATATATTAAGTGTAAAACTTGGTATATAGAGAGGCACAATACTAAGCTACAAATCATATTTCTAAAATAACTGATTTTTCCCACTTGCATTACTCCCACTTGGCTCTCTATTTGGATTGACACGTCAATCAAAGACAAGTACGAGGTTCCACCTTGAGCACCTGAGTCAGCTCAAACCACAGGCACTCAACAGGAAAGCACAGCTACTACAAAAAAAATGGCCCATCTTGAAGTGATGGGGGAGGGGTTTAAATAAAATTACTTTCTTCATTCTCATTTAGGTATTTTATATGATGTAAGAGAATGTCTCATCCTACCTGATTTGGATTATGAGCAAAGGAAATCCTAGCAAAAAAAACTGATTTAAAAGGGGACTGCACAAGTGACATGCTGGCCTTGTCATCCTACCTTCTAATAGTAATAGCCATATAAGACCCCAGTCAACAAACCGGTCACAACTCAAAATAGTCACCATTTTAATGCTTATTCAGTAAGGCTAATAAATTTGACCCACGTCACTGAAGCTCTGAATCTATGGCAACATGTCCTCCCCCCCCCATCTGATAATCTTCATTCCCTCGCCATCCTATCTCCACCTTAAGATACTGAAAAAGTGGTCTGTGTGATCACTATAACCCTTGCGGCTTCCTACACCTTAACTGCAAAACATCAGGTGAAGACCCCATATGGCAGGGACTGGAAGAGGTGGTACCAAGAGAAACATTATTTTCAGAAGCCTGTTCATATGCTGGCTGAAATATCCTTTTAGAATTAAGGCCTCCATTCCTGAAAGATCTGTTGCAACAGCACTTACCATGGCTGCACTCATAAGACCCAGGTCTTCCCCACTCTACCAAGCCATCGAGCCCATTTTCTACCTAAGATTATGGCACTCATCTACTTTCACATTAAACTTTTGAGACTTCAAATGACTCAAAACTGAAATTTCAGTCCTAACATTAGTTACCACTGCTGAAATTTACAGTACACTTTCAACCGTACAACAAAGGCAGGATATCACCACCAGAGGAAAGACTCTAGGGTCGCCTGTATTAAAGGACTTGCAAAATGGTAGATTTACCAAAATCCAGATCTAGCTTCCAGACTGAGCAGACCCAAAGAACAGATCCATCTTTCCAGGGCAGAGACACATTAATCAAACCTACAAGGCAGACCTATAAAACCACAATACCCTGATTATCACCTCTCAGTGTGGGCAGGCCCACATAAACAGCCAAAGCACGAGGATGTTGTCTGCTGAGCACACCACCCAGTCCAGAGAGGTAAGACAGGACGGACACTTAATGGCATCAGGCTTACCTGGCCTGATGAATCCACACCATAAAAGGAATGGTATTCCCCACAATACCAAATCAATCCACAGCAGTTTCCCTCCACTAAAGGGCGCAAAGTTCTCTCCACTGGACAAAGGTTAAATGACTAAACCATCAGATAACTGAGTCAATGTTGACTTTCTTACACGTGGTAATGAGGATGTGATTGGATACTAGAATATTCTTGTTCTTAAAAGAGACAGGATAAAACACTGAAGGAGAAAGCATCATGGTGTCTAAAACAAATTGTTTCTATATTAATATATAGAGATGGAGCACATATAGGAAAATGATAACCATCAACAACTGATCAAGGCAGTGAAGAAGATGCTGGGGTCCACCAGACTGATTTAACTTTTCTGTGGATTTGAAAATTTGCAGAATTACAAAAATGTGGTCTTAAGAGTATTTGTCACAGGAAGAAAACCATGTAATACATAATCAATAGAATATCTTAAAGTTGAACAAAAATATGAAATAATAGCTACTTTAATATATGAGCAAAGACCTTCCTATATTTAATAAGACCACTAGCACAAATTCAAATGTCTCTATTTTAAAGCTTAGCAAAACATATAAAAACCACTGCAAAGTGGTTCAAAGTGTCTCAACGGCTAAAATGTAAGCTTCCCCTCCCCCAGCTTCCATAAAAAAAAAACAACAGACAAAAAGCATCCAACCACTATAAGGACAGGTTTCAGCAAGTGTTCTCCTGGATTTCAAAATGGAAGGATGTCAGCTCACCAATGTGAACAGTCATGCAGGCTGTCATGCAGGGCTTTCCGAAGCACTGAGTCCTTGTCGTAAATGCCCCAGGTAGCTTGTAGTACTGAATCAAGTAAGCAGTCTCCTGCAGTCCGGTTCCAAAGTGCATACAGTCGACTGTCCAAACGTGTAGCCAATTCCAATGACCAGTTTATAATTGGAGATTCTTCTTCTAACTCTATATGAGGAATTTAACATATTGATATAAAACATAAATAAAGGAATCTGAAGATGATTCAAAGAAATGGAAAGATATCCCATGCTCTTAAGACTCGAAGAATTAATATTCTTAAAATGGCCACACTACATAAAGCAACCTACAGATCTGAGGCAATTCCTGTGAAATTACCCAAGACATCTTTCACAGAACTGGAATAAATGATCCTAAAATTTATATGGAACCATAAAAGATCCAGAATTGCCAAGGCACTCCTGAGAAAAAAAAACAAAGCAAGGGCTTCCTTGGTGTCTCAGTGGTAAAGAATCTGCCTAGCAATGCAGGAGACATGGGTTAGAGCTCTGATCTGGGAAGGTCCCACATGCCATGGAGCAACTAAGTCCGTGCACCACAACTATTGAGCATGTCTGTGCTCTAAAGACCAGGAGCTACAACCACTGAGCCCACATGCCACAACCAGAGCCCACGCTCCACAACGAGAGAAAGCACCCCAACAAGTGCACACAACACAACTAGAGGAGCCCCTGCTCTCCAACAGAGAAAAGCCCGCACAGCAACCAAGACTCAGTACAGCCAAGAAATAAAAAAATAAATGAAACTTTAAAAAAGAACAAAGTAGGAGGTCCAACCCTCCCCAACTTCAGATAAGACTATACAGCTACAGTAATCAAAACAGCATGGTATTCACACAAAAAAAGACACATGGCTCAATGGAACAAAACAGAGAGCCCAGAAATAAACTCACACACCTACGGTAAATTAAACTTCAACAAAGGAGCTAAGAATATACAGGCAAAAAGCCTCTTCAACAAGCGGTGTTGGACAGCTTCATGTAAATCAATAAAGTTAGAACACATCTTCACACCAAATACAAAAATACGCTCAAAATGACTTAAAGATTTAAATACATAACATCAGAAAACTCCTAGAGAAGAACAAAGGCAAAACATTCTGACATAAACTGTACTAATGTTTTCTTAGGTCAGTCTTCCAAGGCAATAGAAAAAAGCAAAATAAACAAATGGGACCTAATCAAACTTAAAAGCTTTTGCACAGCAAAGGACACCATCAACAAAAAGACATGACAATGTACAGAAGGGAGAAAATATCTGCAAACAATGCAACCAAAAAAGGGCTTAACTTCTAAAACATACAAACAGCTCTCATGTAACACAACCACAGAAAAACCACCCAACCAAAAAATGGGCAAAAAGACCTAACCAGGCATTTCTCCAAAGACATACAGATGTCCAAAAGGCACATGAAAAGATGCTTAACAACGCTAATTACTAGAATTATGCAAATCAAAACTACAATGAGATACCACCTCACATGGTCTGAGTGACAATCATTAAAAAGTATACAAATACAAATGGTGGAGAGAGTGTGGAAAAAAGGGAACACCCTCATGCACTACTGGTGCAGCCACTATGGAAAACAGTATGGAGGTTCTTGAAAAAACTAAAAAAAACAGAGCTGCCATATGATTCAGCAATCCCACTCCTGGGCATATACCTGGACAAAACTGTAATTCAAATAAACAAACGCTCCTCCTATGTTCATAGCAACACTATTCCCAATAGCCAAGACATGAAAACAACCTAAATGTCCCTTGACAGATGAATGGATAAAAACATGTGGTACATATATACAATGGAATACTACTCAGTCATAAAAAAGAATGAAATAATGCCATTTGCCGCTACATGCATGGCCTAGAGATTATCATACTAAGTGAAGTCAGAAAGACAAATACCATTTGATATCACTTAGAATGCAGAATCTAAAATATGACACAAATGAAATTATTCAGGAAACAGATTCACAGACATAGAGAATAGACTTGTGGTTGGCAAGACTGGTGGGGGGATAGAGTGGAAGTTTGGGGTTAGCAGATGGAAACTAGTATATATAGAACAGATAAACAAGACCCCATTATATAGCATAGGGAATTTATTCAATTATCTTGTGATAAACCATAACGGAAAAGAATATAAAAAAGAACATATATTGAAGTATAACAGAATCACTTTGCTATATAGCAGAAATTAACACAATATTGTAAATCAACTATACTTCAATATAAATAAATATGCAAGTAAGTAAATAAATGTAACATGTTTAGTTTCATTCTTCTGCAATTTAGAAATATTCTATTTGGAAGAAAGAAAGTGAAGTCATTCAGTCATGTCCAACTCTTTGCGACACCATGGACTGTAGCCTACCAGGCTCCTCAGTCCACGGAATTTTCCAGGCAAGAATACTGGAGTGGGTTGCCATTTCGTTCTCCAGGGGATCTTCCCGACCCAGGGATTGAACCCAGGTCTCCCACATTGCAGGCAGACGATTTACCAACTGAGCCACCAGGGAAGCCCTTGGAAGAAACTATTCTCTAAAATGTTAAAAAATGTACATGCAATATACTAATAAACAGCTAGAAATTTTGATCAATTGAAATATAAACCTTTTAAGTAATGGAAACATCTTGAGGCCCTAGAATAATTTATTTAATTTTTAAATTCTTTGTAATTTATTTTCTTAAAATGTTTACTATGAAAAAAATACTCATCCTAGAATAGGAAACACAAAACCAAGATTTTAAAACTTTCATACCTTTATTCACTCTACCACAATTATGAGCTGTGAATGAATGAGCTGTTTTAACAACATAATACAATACTGTTCTTAAGGACTTTATACATTTTCAGTTTAAAGTAGAAATAAAATATGATGACTATACACCAAACTACTACAAAGCTTACAAAGTAGAACAAAACGTTTACTGAAATCACTAAAAATTAAATTATACTCATTAGTTTCATGCTTACCTTTCTGAACATCTCTATCAAGCACCTCATCAAATAATTTCTCTTGGACTGTTGGAGGCAAGTCTTCAATATCTACAAAGAAAAACCTTATTTAAAAAAATCTTTAAATGCCTCATAACTTAAAAAACTTGATGCCAATATTGAACAGTAACTTCCTCTAAAATAACTTCCTTTCCACTGCAGACTGTCAAGTAGCATCCTTTAAAAAATATGCATGTATCTCATGAGTTGTGAATATGAGGTGCAGAATATTTCCTTTCTGTACTTCATTGTCAAAACAGTGCTCTATCTACAAACAGTAAGAAAAGCATCTGAACCAGTAATAATAATCAGCTATTATCAAAAAGACAAGAGATAACAAATACTGACAACAATGCAGAGAAAGGGGAACCCCTGCGCACCATTGGTGGGAATGTAAACTGGAGAAGCCACTATGGAAAATGCTATGGAAGATCCTCAAAAACATAAAACTATCATATGATCCAGCAAACTCACTTCTGGGTATACAGACAACGGAAATGACAAACCTGTACCCACCCCCATGCTAGCAGCAATGTTACTCAAAATAGCCAGCATATGAAAACAACCTAAGTGTCTACCAATGGGTGAATAAATATAAAGTAGACAGGTTACTAAGCCATGAGAAAGAAAAAATCGTGCCATTTGCAATATAGAATGGCCTCGGGAGATGTTATGCTAAGCAAAATAAGTTCGACAGAGGAAGACAAATACTGCTTGGCATCACTTATATATGGATCTTAAAAAGAAAAAAAAGATAGGGAGAAACTGGTGAAAGTACAAACTATAAGCCATAAGATGAACAAGGATAGGAATTAATGTGAAGCATAGTGACAATAATCAGTAACACTGTATTATACACTTGAAATTCTCTAAGAGAACAAAACATAAATGTTTTCACCCAAAATATAAACAGATAAATACAGTGTGAGGTAATAAGTGTGTTAACTAATTGGGGGGGAGGGGGGGAGGAATCCTTTCACAATTTATGTGTGAATCAAATCACCATGGAATTCTCCAGGCCAGAATACTGGAGTGGGCAGCCTTTCCCTTCTCCAGGGGATCTTCCTAACGCAGGGATCAAACCTAGATTTCCCACACTGCAGGCAGATTCTTTACCAGCCAAGCCACAAGGGAAGCCCAAGAATACTGGAGTGGGTAACCTATCCCTTCTCCAGGGGATATTCCCAACCCAAGAATCGAACTGGGGTCTCCTGCATTGCAGGCAGATTCTTTCCCAACTGAGCTATCAGGGAAGCCCCAAATCACCACAATGTGTATCTTAAAATCTTACAATTTTCTATGTTAATGACAACTTAATAAAGATGAAATAAAAGGGGGGAAAGGAAAAAAAAAAAAAACAGAACAGAGGTCTCTGATACTCAAAATAACAACAAACAAATTTTGTCTGTTTTCTGCCCACCCCCGCCCCCCAACACTCAATCTCTGCTCAGAACTGTTTTTGCAGAGTTAAGAATCTTATGATAGTCAATGAACCATTCATTTTGGCACACAAACTTCTGTTTTTCTCACCTTCCTGAAATTCTCTATGCTCTATTCGGTTTACTAATTGAGTAGTCTAGAATAAAAAGCATGATTACCCTTACAACATTTTTTTAAACTACAGAACTATTTTCAATTCAAAATAAAATCTAATCACTCAGTGTAGTAAGGTTAAATATATAGAGTGCATTTGAAATGAAATTTGTCTGATTTTGTAAATATCTCTGCTCACATCTTAATATAAGCTTAAAATGGAAGGCTAGGAACACCCAAAACAAAATGTAAGTTTTACTTAAAAACTTTTAAGTGTTCAGTATATTTATTCAGTGTCAATTGAGGAAAAACAACCTGGAAAACATTTCCACTTGTCATGTAACTGGAAAATAAAAAGTTGCTTCACAAATATAGTAGAAATTAACATAATGAGTGAAGTAAAGTAATGACACTTCCAAAAGAATGCCGGTATCTTTGATTTAAATAATTTGTATCTACCCATCAAAAACCCATGTTCTGATCTTGTCTCCTAATATCAGGTGATCTAATTTAAAAATAATAAACACAAGTGAAAAGAAAAAGAAAAAAGCTGATTCATTAATACTCTCAAAGAGAAAAAGAAATGGATAAACAGATTTTTAAACATATCTGAGGCCCACAAAGAAGTCAGTTATTACCAGCTGCTGTCTTCCTCTCAACTCTATAGCATTAGTTTATAAATGGACTATACATTGACTACTTTCAGTAAAACAGGATACTCAAGTTATAGCTGTAAGATAGCTACTATCTACTAATTGTGGCTATCTGTTTTCTAACAGAATCATTTTCATTCAGACATTGAAAGAATATAATAAAGTGGAAATTTGTTTTCACAAAGAGATGTGGAGTTACCTGCTGGCAATGTAAATGTAACAAGGTCAGTTAGGAAATAGCAAGCAAAGTCCCCCTTTCTCTGGTGAAGAGAAGCAGCGATCTCACGACGGATCTGCTCTGTCAGTTCAGGACACACCATTGCAGGAATACACTTTGCAGCTTGTTGAGACACCTTAAATACAAATGAAACTTTCCTCTATATCTCATTCACCATTGGAAGCAGAAATCAACAGCATTAAAAAGAAATTACCAAAACTTTCCAGTAACTTAAGGTGTTTTTGTTTTAAATATATGAAATATTGGCATTATGTCCTCAACAGTAGGAGTATATATCGGTACAACTTTCCTGGAAAATAGTGATATAAATGCTTTACCCTCTCAATTCAGTAATTCTACTTTTTAGTGGCGTTTATCCCAAGGAAATAACAAACAAGCATATAAAAATGTATGTGAAACAGAGTTGTTCACAAAGGTTCATCACAGGAGGGGGAATGAGGACAGAAAACAAAGTAAGAATAACCACCAGGACCCTAACAAAAACATTCTTAAACAGGGAATTCCGGCTCACAGAGACAGAGCAAAGTAGAAACTCCTGTTGTATAAGAAATTACTTCAAGTATGTGGACTTAAAGACAGCATGACATTTTTAAAGGTTTAGTTCCCAATGACCTTAAATCCCTCCCCACTTGCTATAAGTCTTTTTTTTCTTCTTCTATTTTTTGGCCATTCCAAGCTGCATTCGGGATCTTAGTTCCCCAACCAGGGATCAAACTCGCACCGCTTGCAGTCAAAGTGTCTCAGCCACTGGACCACCAGGGAAGTCCCTGTAATTTTGTACTTTTTTAGAAGCATCTGGCTTCCCCGAGTGTAGAGCGGACAACAAAGCTCTGTAGTAGTACAATTCAACAGGAATGAAACCCAAGCAAGAACGCTCCTGTCCTTTTAAAATGATGAACAGCAGCAAAGGATGAAAAGACATTATCTTACATTTAAGTTGTATTCCTCTGTGGCATGCAAGAAATCTATACACAGAGAATTCTGAAACCCAAGGCAAGCGTCCACCTACTCGAGAGGAAATGAGTGTGCTGTGACCCTCCACTCCGTCACTGCAGTAGCAGCCACTAACCTGAGCCACCTTCCCGAGCAGACGGCAGTCACAGGTGGGGCGTGGAGCAGCAGGTCTCCCAGTAAAGCCACACACACAGTTTTATGCTACTGTCATCTACATAACATACATGGACACACTTAATTGTAATTACTACCTAGCTAAGTAAACAGTGTTGCGAACACCCTGCATACCCATCATGACCATCAGACATCCCCTTCGGAAAATGCCTGCAAGAAAATTCAGTTCTAAATGTTACTGGCCAGGAATAACACTGACGGTGAAGTTGTCACCACACCTGAACTCCACGAGCCCAACTTAAGCAACAAACTGGAAAAGTATGAAGTATTTTCAGAATATAACTATTTCTCAAGTAACAGCATTAAGTAGATCTCAAGAGTAAACTAAAAAATAGCTTTTTCAAAACTGCTAACCCTCAGCCTCTTTGCAAAATCCCAGGGAGATTTTGAACACTGAACACCCCAAAAGAAACCTTACAGCTAGTGACTCACTGCTAACCCCCTACTCCCGCCATCATCCTTAAGCACATGCCCCTGAAGCCTGCCCCTCATCTTCTAGCCTCTTCAGCCTCATGACTCTCCGTCAGCTCCTTAGCCTACTAGCTAATTTAGGGCCCATGAACTTGGGAAGGGTCCATGAACTAGAACAGGAAGTTCAACTAAATTTAAATCTTTCATTTCAGTTGCCTACATTTAAAATGCATTTTCTTATACATCACAAATATTCTAACAACTACATATTTCAATGTAACTAATTTCCTTTGCAAACCTGCTTTCTATTTTATATATTTTAAAACAACAGTTTGAAAAGAAGTCCATTTATTCCACCAGACTACATACAGGGATCATGGTTTAAAGTCCAATTAAGTAAGCCCCTAGCCCCAGACACACGTTCCCAAAATGTAACGCTCTCCTGGTCTCATCTCTGAAGTCCCTGGCTAGCCCTGTGCCCTGTCTGCAGACTCAGCCCTCAGCACAGACTCATGCTCTCCCTGCTGGACCCTTGGATTCTGTCCTGTGGAGTGCCCATGCCACGGAGACTAAATTCCACCACCGATTCTGTTCTTTCCCTAGAACGAGCGTCCTTTCCACCTCCCTCATGGTGTGTGCCAGGGCTGGTCCATGTGTACCGCAGAATATGGCAGAAATGATGGAGTATCACTTCCTACATTAGGCTATACAGAAAAGACACTGCGGTTTCCACCTCACTCACTCGCTCACTCTCTCTCGGCTCACTTGCTCAAGGAGAGACCAGCCAGCACATGAGACGCAGCCCTGTGGACAGGTCCACGGGACAAGGACCTGTGAGTGTACTAAGAGCCGCAGCCTCTACCCCAGTCGAGGCTCTTGACGACGGTAGCCCTGGCAGTCTGGGGCCTCAGGGGACCTTGAGCCAAGATCACTCAGCTAAGCTGCTCCTGGGCTCCTCACTCTCAGAAACTGTGATGGCCAGTGTTTGTTGTCGTAAGCTGCTAAGCTTTGAGAGGATTTGTTACCCAGCTGTGAATAAACACACTGGGGTCCTACTGTCTTCCCGCTGTTAGTCCTCAGAGTGCTCTCGGGAGGCTGATGGCTTGCACCAGCCCCCCAGGGCCTCCTCAGAGCCCTCTGCCAGCAACCCGCTCTGAGTGCAACCCGCTGTTGTTGCTGCTTAGTCGCCAAGCTGTGTCCGACTTCTTGGGACCCCACGGACTAAAGCCTGCCAGGCTCCTCTGTCCATGGGATTCCTCAGGCAAGAATACTGGAATGGGTTGCCATTTCCTTCTCCAGGGGATCTTCCCGACCCAGGGCTCAAATCCACGTTTCCTGTATCGGCAGGCGGATTCTTTACCATTGAGCCACCCGGGAAGCACACCACTAAGACCTGCATCTTGGTTCACCGCTGCCTTCTTCTCGTCTCCAGCCACCACCAGCGACTATAACTCCACACGCCGTCCCGTCTGATACACAACTGGGTGTCACAACACAAGTGTAGCCAGACCTCAGGACACTACAGAAACTACCTCGAACCGTTCCATCCCATGTTCCAGATCACTAGTCTCTCTAATCACAGAGCCGCCTTTCAAACAGTCCCCTTCTCCCTTATCCTCCGTAAGCGTGTTAGTCACTAAGTCGTGTCTGACTGTTTGTGACCCCATGGACTATAGCCCGCCAGGATCCTCTGTCCATGGGATTCTCCAAGCAAGAATACTGGAGTGGGTTGCCATGCCCTTCTCCAGGAAGTCTTCCCAACCTGGGGATCCAAGTCAGGTCTCCTGCATTAAAGGCAGATTCTTCACCATCTGAGCCACCAGGGAAGCCCAATCTTCAGTAAGCCTGCCCTTTGTTTTCAGCCAAGACTGTCTCTCAAGCCCTATCTTGCCCCTGGTTTAACTGGACTCTTAGGCAAACTAAACACAATGGCAAGCCGTCTCAATCATGCTTCTACCTAACATTCATATTTCTTAACCACTCCTCCCGCTTTATGCTTTGTGCCTAAAAGTTTCCAGATACTGGAGAGTTCAAATATGCAAACAAGCATACACAGAAGGCGTATACTGACCATAATGGATTTGAATCCACAACTAATCGAACACTCTGCACTTTTACCCTATTTCTCTTATTAAAAAAAAAAAAATTACCTGGATGATACAGTCACATCCTAATTATTCACTCCAACCTCTGTTACCTGTAACATCTACCAGGTTATCTACTCTAAAAACCCAGATGCCATTTTGACCCCTACCCACCATTACTCCCCACAGCCAATCCATCCACTTAATTCTGCTAGCATCTTCAGCATCTCCCTCACACCAGCCATTGCCATTACTGTCCCAACAGAATTCCTGCCAGCATCACTGCAGTGTCCTAATCAGGTCTACCCCTCTCTAATTCCAGCAGCCAAAACACTCTGACCTTGTCACTCTGCTGTCCCTCTGCCTAACCCTTTTCAAAGCCTTTAACTGCCCTCAGAATAACCTTCCAATTCTTTGGCCTAGAAGATCCTTCACACTGCATCCCCTACTTGTCTCTCACTTCCCATCCGCCATACAACCACACTGAGCTACCCACCAGCTCTGAATTCAACACAAACACCACCACCCCTGCCTCTGAATAGCTTCCTCAATGCCTTTCTCATCTCTACCTATTCTGAAGCTAACTCATCCTACTCCTCCAGATCTCAGCTTAAACGTTACCTGCTGTGGGTAAGAAGGTAAGTAAGATACTGCAAAACACTTTCTGAAGTCCTCCCCACAGCATCTGGCACTTCTATCTATGAAACTGCACTCTGTACAGAATCACTGTAACTGGAGATTCACTGACGGAGGAGCGAATGTCTTCACCATTACACCCCTTTATGCCCAGTGCCTTCAACATGGTAGGTACTCAGTAAATATCTGTTAGCTGAATGAATTACTAATACATTTCGGTTTTTTCAAAATCAAACATATGACTCAATCATTGTGGCAAAATGTCCTGTTTTAAAAAACACATATCCCTTCTGTTAAAGTCTCTTAGTTTTAAATGTCATTTTTAAAAGAGGGCTGATCAAATCTAAAACATTTAAGAACTGAGAAATATTAAAACATCAAAAATGAAAACTAAAGAACACATTTCCTTCATATAAAGGAATAATAGAATGCCACACTCACCTCTGTAAGCAATATCGCTAGCATATCCTGCCTCTGAAAACGTATAGCCAGATGTACCAGAGTATAGCCAACATCGAAAGCAGAAGGGCGATTCAGCAAGCGGACTTCATCTGCAGTGAGTTGGCGGGCGATGTCCCCTCCCGACGATTTGTAAGCTTCAATAGCAGCTAAATCACCTTCTACAACACCTAAAACAAGCATCAGGACAGAAAACAAGTTTAATTCTATTTTTCTTCAAAAAGCACAAGCCTGTAGCAGTCACTCAAAACTCTGATTCTCTGTGCTTCCTGGATCCCAGGGCATCATTCAAATGTCCTAAAGAATACAAAGAAAATTACAGTGTATTCCTTTCCCTTTCATTTCCTTCCAGAACTAAACTGCCTAGCTGGACACTTACCATCCCATTAGTGTTGGCTCCATGCTCTGGTAAAGTTTAGAGAAATTATTAGAATATATTAAGAGGATCAAAGATCAACCATCTACTGTGAAGACATTAAAGCCCCTGTGTGCTGGTCCTGGTTCTGCAGAAACCAAGGAGACAAGGATGTGCCTGCTGCTGCTGTTGGGCAAGTTCTGCCCTTTATTCTGCCCCCCTCCCTTCTTGTGGCTGCGCTGAGTGGCTTTGCAGGACCTTAGTTCCCCTCCAGGGATCAAACCCCGGTCCACAGCAGTAAAAGTACCAAATCCTAACCACTGGACCACCAGGGGTGTCCCTATGCTGCATTTTTAAAGTTAAATCAAAGTAAATGCTGAGCCTTCCTTCCACATTGCTGTTAACTGAGACAATTAAGAGCAGTTAAAATAAATGTTTAATGTAAGTAAAAGTTAGCAATACTCTGATTTCAGAATTTCTCACAGTCAAGTCTTCCTTATACCCATTAAGAATTATTAAATTATTAATACAGCAAAACTTGAGCTAGGTAATTTTGAATAGAAATATGCTAAAACAAAATGCGATAAGCCAGTTGGGGGTAGAGGTACAAAACAAGCTTCCAATTTTTCCAAATCCATAAAGAACTTTCTGTCCCCATTAAACCATGTTATTATTGTTAACACAAGTTAATGTTAGGTAATAACAGAAATCTTATTTAGTAAGTACAGGACATCAGTGAATAATAAGCAAATAACCTTGGCAAAAAAATGAAGGTGCAGGTTAGCTTCACATTTACCACAAATAGTGGTACACACACACATACACACACCCCAAGATTGCAGGACTAGATAACTGTTTCCTAAATTATATCAAGAGAAATTTGTTACATAAAATGCTACTACTAGCTAAAAATATTCTTAGTATACTTGCATTTTAAACTGCTGTCTTGAATTAGGAATAAAATAAATAAGACTTATTCCTTAAAGTGTAATAGACTGGTTCAATGCAACAATCTCCCGTTATTGAAAATAACAAAGCTTTAAAATGATATTTCCCACATTCACTGAATGCCCACGACACACAGAGCAATATGCCAGGCAATGTGAGAAATGTAAAAACCTGATTCCTATACTCAAAACAGCCCTTCATCATATTTGTGAGCCATAAAAAGCCAGCTTCAAAGTTTTCCAACTCAGGGATCAAAGATCCCTTCTGCAAAACTAGATCCTCTCCCCAGAAAGATGACCCCAATCCCTGAAACACAACATTTTTCAGGTTAAGAACCCATGGTTTCAAATGATAATACCTTCCTAGATAAATTTTTATCTCACAGCAACATAGGTTAATACATTCCTCGACATAAACACCTCAGGACAGCTGTAGCCCCCACTCCAATAAAGGACTTCAACAAAACCTATGAGGCACAGCGCCTTGGAGACGTCATCAGAGCTGAAACATAATGTGGCTGGCATGAGATAAAAGGAGGTGGACTTCTCAAAAGCGCAAGCCTGGAGATCAGACACAGAAATCTAAAATCTACCTGTTTTAATGAACAGACGAGAATAATCTAGTAGGGTTCATAACATTTTGAATAATTTAATGCAGCTTTTTTTTAAACTGAACATGCCCTGTTCCATTTCTTTTCATGTATACACTACTTCCTTACGAAGGCAACAACTTTTCACTTCAGCTCTAGCAAAGCTATTAACTACTCCAAGGTGCAGTATCACTGTACCTTTTAGTTTTTAGCTTCAACCTAAAATTATATGCATCTATAAAATTTTGTATGATATAAAAAATGTTCTAAGCACTTTCAAAAGCAACAAAAGGACAAAAAAGTCTGATCAATTTACCTGAAAAGATAAAAGAGGAAGACCTAGACAGTACATGCATATGCATAAGAGATAGTGTGTGTGTGTATATATACACACATATTTTTTTGTTTCCCAAAGATGAGGTAATCTAAAAGTAGAGGTCAAAAAAGCACAAAAACTATGCTTTTTTGGTTGGAGAAGAGGAGATCTTCTAAATTGCTGTCTTCACTATTTTTAGTTAATTCATCATACAGCTGATGTCTGGAAAGATCTCACCTCAGAAATACTTGCTTAAGAATTCATTTCCTCTCTAATGTTTCTGAGGGATCTCTGTAACTAGAAACTAACTAGCCAGTCAAAGGTGGGGAGGGGTACAGTCCAAACAGCACAACAAACTCAGCAGTTGTGCTTTGGAATTATGACTTACAGTCTGCCTTCAAACTTCGTGTATTTTATCAAAAAAGGACTTCAAATGATGAACTGCATGGTATGTGAATTACATCTCAATAAAGCTGACATACATACATAAAAACCGAATTTCTATTTGGCCTAATCCAAGATCTCAAAAACAATCACTTCCCCTGACCACAAGCTCTGCATTAAACTGCAAATAGGAAATGCTGCTGCCCTTAGCAGGGAACATACACAGGAGGGCAGAAAATGAAGGTGAACAGAGATCTTGTTCTCTATTCTTCACAGCATAAAATAAATCTCCAAACTTTTCAGAACACAAAAAAACACAAATTCAATTACAGGGACAAAATAATATTTAAAAGAAAAATACTTCACTGTCTAATATTTTAGGAATACATAATTCCATTCTTTTCATTAACCATAATTAAGAGTTCACAGTTTCAGTTACCGGTAAATTCTGGGCTACAAAAGATCAGTAAATTTATTACAAATCAAATTTCAAGAGAATGTCAATGAACTGTCCAAATGTTTGTTGTATATCACTTACACACTGCTCAAGAGGAGCTAGTTTCGTCACAGATGGGTTTTCACTGTAAACATGGTGTCTAAAGGATCTGGCCTATACTGATATAATTTAAGTTTTAGCTACCACATATTTTCTTAGGGAGAAAAAAGCATCAGATTATATGCAAAGTAACTAAGAAAATGTCTTTTGAGGCCTTCAGATAACATTTTTACCACCTTTTAACATTAGGGAATAAAAGGAAAGCAGGAAAAAGGTCAAAGAAGTGGTAGGTAGGAAAATACAGTAAATAAATCTAAGTGGTAAAACCTCACTTAATGCAACAAAGGCCAGGAAAAAATGGGAAAGTTCCAGCAGAAGAGAAATAGGTAACATATACAAGCTTTCTAGGTTACTGACATCTCGCATTAACTCCAACAGTTAACGGAAGCTTCTTTCTCTGTAATATGTTGGTCTGAAAATTTAACAAACACATATTACATGCTCTGTCCCCTCCTACTCCAAGTGAAAGTGAAAGCATTAGTCACTCAGTTGTGTCTGACTCTGTGACGTCATGGACTGTAGCCCACCAGGCTCCTCTGTCCATAAAATTCTCCAGGCAAGAGTACTGGAGTGGGTAATCACTCCTCCTCCAGGAGATCTTTCCAACCCAGGGACTGAACCCAGGTCTCCTGCACTGCAGGCAGATTCTTTACCTTCTGAGCCACCAGGGAAGCCCATGTTATGAAAACCAATTAAAAGGCACTCTGAGAAGATTAACTTTATAAAACTAATCGGCCATACCATTACGCATTCAAAATTGATTGAAACACACAACTAGCTAAGTGGTGGTGCAGTTACTGATAAAGTTAAAATACTTTTAAAAACATAGAGACCTTGGAAAAAGTGAAATAAAAAAAGAAAAAAAAAAACAACTCATACTGTTCCATAAGGTGGGGCAGGAGAAGAATTTAACATATTTGGAAGTCACAGGTCACAACTCACGGAGGACTTCACAGCTACTATGGAACTCCGTTGGTTAGAATATGGAGCTGGCTCATAGTTATTTAGAAAACAGACTTATTTTTTCCCCCATATATGGCACAGTTTTCAAAGTTTTGCCTTGTTTCTTTTGACATAAAATCATAATGGTAACTAACTTTGAAAAGAATGCCAAATGGTAAAAAAAAAGCCAGGACTTACCTGAGCCCACATGGGCCAGCTCAACACTACCCTGGAGTTCTATGGTAGCTGTGACATCACAGCATGCTTTATGCTGTGGGGTCAGGGTGGACTTGGAGTCAGCTGGCACAATTTCAGGAGCCCTTAAAGAGAAAAGTTAGTTTTAAGTGGTAATGTTCAGAATGCCGGTTACTCTGGTCAGTAGAAAGATGCAGATGTTGGTGGCTACAATGTCTGGACAGTTTTCCTCTACTCGGAGCCTAATTCCCTTAACTGTCTTTGCATACTAAAAAGGAAACTTGACCACCCAGTTCGTCACAGACTCCTAACCATTTGGCTATAGTTCAAAGATGAACTTCAGACAGACACAGCCATCGCTTTCAATACTCAAATAGAAGCTGTTTTTTAAATAAAATGACCTCAATATTTTTAGGTGTATCTTAAGTACATGCAAGCTCATGGCAATCCCAAAAACAGTCTGAGCAGACCAAAGAAATCACCTTCTAGATGCATTTTTCACGAATGCATAATAACCAATGGCAACAAGTTAAAATCTACCATTTCTATTCCTAGAATGCTAATAAATAATACCTTTTCAAAAAACCAAGATGTGAAAATCATAAATTGGAAACATTCTTAATTGAACCTACACTTTATCAAGATGAATTTCTATTCAATTCATTCAATAAACTTACTTCGTTATGAAAAGATCCTATTTATTTTTGTCTGTGTCGTGTGGCCTGTGGGCTCCATTTCCCAATCAAGGATTGAACCCGGGCCATAGCAGTGAAGACTAAGAATCCTAACCACTAACCAGGTAACTCCCAGAAACATCCTCTTTAGAAAAATAAATTCAAATGATAGGGAAGTCAAAATAATATCTAAGGAGCTCCTTTAAATGTT